GGACGTGCTCTCGATAAGTGTGAATAATATCTCTTGAGCTAAACATAAATAGGCGCATATTTTTCTTCCAAGTATCTAACTGTGCATACTTGCATAATTAATAACGAAACATTTGTTAAGACGACTCTAACGAGGTTCAAAAATCAAACGAGTTTAATTGCCCTTTTTGCATTATACTTTTTCTTAAAATATACGTCTTTAGGAGAATATGCCAGTGGTTCACTAGTATATTTCGCAAGGTATTTTGGTATTAGGTTCGATAAGTTGCTCAGTATATCGTATTTGCATATTTTCAATGCCATATTATCTAAAATCGCGCCTAGCGCTGGTGTTTTAGTCATATGAATTTAATTATCAATTTAGTCAACCTCGATACTTCGCTTTCAAATATGCCTGCATACATATGCATATTGGATTCGGCGCTGTCATAGGTGAAAACCGGTATGAGTTTGGTACGTTTGAATACGACGTAAAGATATTCATTTATATTGAAATTGAAATAATGTCAACATATTTTCCTTTTAGTTGTGGGGCTTTCACATTTTCGCATATTTCAACTTTTTAATAATAATAATAATAATAACTGTTATATTAATTATATTATTATGTTATAATAATAATTAAATGCTAGGTGCATATATTTGCGCATTCCAATTGAAATAATATAATTACAATTAAGTTTCCCAGTTGCATATTTAGCCTCAACATATGCGCAGAAAATATATACAGATCACTTATATTTGTTTTAAGTTGAGCATATTTTGAAACATTTATCATCAGTCTGCATACTTTTGCCAAATGGTAATACTTTTCGTTATTTCAGATCGTAATGTGCTTCGTTGAATGAGCGACAAGACGCAAATTGCATACTTTAGCATATGTTACACGTTAACAAATTGTTGCACAAAAGAAGACCGAGGACAATAAGTGCACATCTTCCACCAAGTATTAGGTGCATACATTTGCATATTTCATTGCTTACCTAGGCTTTATAAATACGACACGTGCTTCACTAGGTAAAAATTTCAAATTGCATATTTGTGCATATTTGGTAACATTCCCTTGCATATTTGCATATTTTATAACCTTGAATATTGACCAATTGCACACAGGTGTCAATCATTATTGACGCCAACGCCTACTTTCTTCGTCTTTTTCTTATTGCATATTTACTTCAAATCCGACAAACAGCTTGCATACTTTTATTTTGAAATAAATACAAGTTCATACATGCTCTGCTAATTGTACGTACCAATATACAGTAGTATATTTTGCAGTATTCCGTACTGCATACATTTGCGTACTTTACGAATCTTTTGGTTCACGTTCTGCATTTTACGCTGCATATTTTTACATATTTATTTACGATATCGTCCAACGCATACCTTTATCTGAAGCTGCAATTAGATGCGTGATCAGTGCGTACTGTCCCTTTTCCAGAAAACGTGCCGTAATTTAAACGTCATCGAGCGATTATGCACTAAACAGTTAGACCGCCCCGTGAGCACTATGTGGTTTAATACGCAATGGAGGCCGTTTGATTGCGGTCGAAATTTTTAACTTGCGTCAAATTACGGCGGCAACCGCAATTTTGGGTTCATCAAGCCCGTGTATCTACCTTAAACGTGTGGGGGGCGAGGGAGTGATGCCTTTAGATTTTCAATTTTGCACACAATTCGTCTAAAATTCGGTCGTTACGTTGTGCTCAAGTTTAAGTTTCAATTCGCACGCGATTCCGCGGTCTTATCATGCGATGCCCGCGAACGTCATCGTTTTGTGTCGCCGGAGTGATTGGTGTGAGACTTGTGATGTCATAAATGTATGCGAATGCCCATTTGACCTAGATTTTCTGCAGAAAAATAAACCAGAAACCTGAGACATATTTCCCAGCTGATTTGACATACTACGATTCCTAATCTTCCAATTGGTTGTAAATATTCATATATCATCTCTTCTCTTTTTCTAAGAACAGAATACTTTAGTAAGTGGAGTACCTCCGTAATAGTTAATATCAAAAAAGTAATATAAGCATCATGTGCTCTTTTTGCATCAAACTTATAATGGAAAAATCAAAATTTTTGGAGGGGGGGGTCGAAAAATCAAAATTTTTGGAGGGGGGGTCAAAAAATTGTCAATTTCTATTACAAAAGTTTCTTGAAAATGCTCTTTGAATAATTTGCCGTTTTCAAAATAAATATACTGCGTCACGTAAAAACGATATTGGACCTAACCTCATTTTTAAATGGAACACCCTGTATATTTTATTAGCATATTATAAATTCTTTTTTCAAAAGTTCTTCCGTTTGCCAAGGTGGAAATTTTCATTTTTACGTAAAATAAAAATTTCTACTTCACAAATTAAAAAAAAACACAAATTCGCATATAACCGATTTACAGCAGACTCTTAGGAGATTTCGATAAGATCTTAAAGAAGTGATCAAAAAGGTTTCAATCAAAAAAGCTTGCAAGAGATATCGGCAGTTGGAAAGAGTTTCGAGATGTAAAAATGAAAAAAAAACACATTTCGAGGTTATTTCAAAAATAGGAAGATTTCGAAAAGATGTTGAGCCACAGGAAGATTTTGATACCTAGAAATTTCGAAACAAATTTAAGAAGACCTCGAGATAAGTTTTTAGAAAATCTGTTTTAAAATAAGGATTCATCATTAAAATACTAAGAGCCCCCTCCCCCCACGGTGTTTTTAACATAATTTTTCTGAGAACTATCGCCTCTTTCGGTGCTAGAGGGAGTATTCCGACACCACGATGCTACGTTCTTTGCAGTACAAAGAAGAGGATTTGACCTGGGATTTGATTATTACCCAACAACTTCTTAAAACCTGACCGTAGTTTCAATAATAAAACCTCATACCCCTTTCCCAGCAAATACCATGCGAGGTCTGAATGATTAACGGCTTGTGAAAGAAAGTGATTCTGGGGGGTATGGCACTGATGTGTATAGATGAAGGGTTGTGTGGTGCTTCTTTGCTGGATGGTTTTCTGGAAATGGTTATCGATTTGTGATTGCTGGGGGGTATTATACCCGCCCCCCCCCGCAGACTCCCCGGTACTACGATTTCTGCAGTGCGGATAAGAATACCTCATACCCCTTTCCCAGCAAATGCCATGCGAGGTCTGAATGATTAACGGCTTGTGGAAGAAAGCGATACTGGGGGGTATGCAATACCCCCCAGTACACATGACAGTTCCATTGATATTTGCAGAACACCATCATAATGGCACTGATGTGTATAGATGAAGGGTTGTGTGGTGCTTCTTTGCTGGATGGTATTCTTGAAACGGTTATTGATTTTTGTGCCATGCGAGGTCTGAATGATTAACGGCTTGTGGAAGAAAGCGATACTGGGGGGTATGCAATACCCCCCAGTACACATGACAGTTCCATTGATATTTGCAGAACACCATCATAATGGCACTGATGTGTATAGATGAAGGGTTGTGTGGTGCTTCTTTGCTGGATGGTATTCTTGAAACGGTTATTGATTTTTGTATTGGAATACCCCCCCCTCCACCCCCCAGGTACTACGTTCTCTGCTGTGCGCAGAAAAGAACCTCATGATCCTTTCCCGAACAACTGTCATGCGAGTTCTGAAGTATAAATGGTTTGTGGAAGAACGCGTTGGGAGAGGGGGGGGGGCACTGAGGTTTATAGGTAATGGTTATTGAGTCCTTTACTGTATGGTTTATGGAAGATAGTGTTACTATAGGGGGGTATGAAATATGAATCTTGCCGACATGATAATTTTTCAAATAGGGCACAAAATTACATTCCAGCTCCGCTATAGAAGGCGCATCATTTCTGTATAAGAAAAATTTCTTTACAACAAGCTCGCGACTTATTTTCTGTAAGTGACAAAACGGCGCACAACTGGCGCCTAATTCTATTAACCAAATTAATCGCAAATGACCTACCAGTGCAAATTAATACCTAAAAATCTATTAGGCTTTTTATCGTAAAAAAGTCGCAATCTCTCGTGTTGCACCAACTGCATGGCGTTTTTCGCATTTATGTAAATGGTATCAATGGCCGTCGAGTAACGATTGCAAGGACTTTTAGGCTTGGCGAATGCAATCGATGATGCGTTATCGGCATGCACGTCCAACGATTAAAATTTGATTAAGGGTAGTGCGCGCGTTTTTTTTTCTAAATTAAACCGGCGCCCATTATAATAATGTAATGGAATTAACAATGTTAGTACGTTACGCATTCCATAAATTGTGTATGTAGTGCACATAAATTAAATCAAAACATAAAATATTCGTAGCTTTCGGAAAATGATGGTTATTTATAGTGATGGTTGATGTAACAATGCCATCCAACCCTATCCAAACGTCCAGCGATGTCGTCCAGGATATGGAAGTAACGTGCATCAATAACTAAATTGCTTGTTGCACTGCATACGTAGTTGCAATTTAAAACTGCATTATTCCCCCATGCGTTTGTCGGACGCAATATTCGAAAATCAACCTAAATCGAGTTGGTGCGCGCGCGAATATCCGTAATTAGTTAATAATAAATTAGCGTTTCCATTTCGCCGTCGTTTTCATCTATTTATCGAAACGAAATTTTGATTAGAGCCCAAAAATTGACAACGCACGCTCGACTGACTCGTCTATTTATAATGAGAGCGATAGCACGTTCGATAGCGGGGGGGTCACGAAAAAATTGTTCCAAAATTTGCCAAGAGAGCGGCGCGAAGGCGGATTAATTTCAAATTACCGAACGACGTTAAAAATAACGCGGATTCAAGCTAATATGAAAATATTGAGGACATTTTCCTTTGTTTTTTCCGATAATGGGCCGCGCGCGTCTTTGAATTTTAATTATTCGCGTATACGGCGAGGGAAATTACGGCGAGCGGGCGCGCGCGATGCGTTCGGTCAGTTTGATTAAAAAAGAAAATATTTAATTTCGGCTCTTATTATAAGGGTCCGATTTAGATCTAATAGGGTGGAGGAGGGTGCGTTTCTCCGACTTACCCGTATGCAGTCTTGTGTGCTGCTGAACGTGACTAAGCTGCTTGAATCTTCGATCGCAGTAGGAACATTTGTAAGGCTTTTCACCGGTGTGAACCCTAATATGTTGGACCAATTGGTGATTACTACTGAAGGATTTTAAACACTGCTGACACTGGTGTGGTTTTACATCCGACCGACCTGACAACTCCCTCGCATGCATGTGCATTGCGGTCTTCTGCATGAAAATCTGAAAATTATAAGCTCGATTAGTGCACTTATCACCACAGGATATCATGTGTTGGTGCATGTGTAGTATTTCTTGCAAGTTGCATATTTTTGCATATTTTGACAAATACGCAACGACTCCGGAATGGTATCTCGCCTCTTTCTCCAAGATTATTCCACAACTTAACAAACGAAAACAGGAGCTAAACATCAAACATTCACTCAGAATATGCTCAATCCGCAATCGAGATATGCAAACCACACCAAACATTAGAATACAAGCTAAATTTGCCTTTCATATACCTAAATGCACGACGTTCGTGTTTCGGAACAACTTTTCGTATAATGCGTATCTAGGGTTCCGTGCGTATTTTTGCATATTTTGCGAAATATGCAACAGGAATAATGTCTCGCATCTTTTTTTAAAGATATTCCAGAATAGGTTCAATCCGCAAAAAATATATCCAAACCAATCCAAGGTTGTGAATTCGAACAGTTTTAGTCGTACACGTATTTTTACATACTTCCGGGTCCTTGCCCTTTCAACGTTGAGTTCTTAGTCGGAAGAACCGCACCATTTTTCAACTTTGCCAGATCCAAGGATATGTACAAGGTTTCTGTGACAACTTTTTGTATAACGCATGTCTAGTGTTTCGTGCGAGTTGCATATTTTAGGAAATTGCGACGTTATGGGCATATCTACACTACAATAATGTATCGCTTCTTGCGGTTTGGGACAGTTTGTAACATTTTAGCAGAGGCAACACATGAAAAATCCGCTGAGAATCCTCGATGAAACATATTTTTGCATATTTTGCGAAATACGTAACTTTATCTGCATATTTAAAACAGTCTAGTGTTGCTTCTTTCTCAACCTTACATACAAAGTTTCTGGTTTAGAGGACTAGGACAACTTTTCGTATAATGCATGTCTAAGGTTTCGCCTGAGTCGCATATTTTTACATACTTCGCAAAATATGCCACGCTAAAGCGACTTCGGGAACAGGGCAATTTAACAATATTAGAACATTAAAATCAAAAGTACGAGGTTTTTTCAGAACTTTCGCGTAATGCATCTCTAATAATTTATGCGAATCGGATATTCTTTGCATATTTTCCAAAATGAGTAACGTTATTTGTATATCTAAAATAGTGTCTTGTCTCTTTCTCAGCTCTCCACACAGAGTCTCTCTATTGAAAGGACTAGAACCACGTTTCATATAATGTATGTCTAGTACTTCGCGCGAATTGCATATTTTTGCATATTTTGAAAAATACGCAACGACTGTAGAGTAGTGTCTCGGTTCTCTCACCAAGAATTTTCCACAAGTTAAAAGATAAGAGAAGCTGAACATCAAAATCCACTCGACATAATATGCTCAATCAATACGATATACACAAACACACGGGCGCTTTAGAAAACGAATTGAATTTGCCTCTCGCATTCCTAATTCCAGAAAATCTGCGAGTTTTTTCAGAAGATGTAAACTTTTCCTAGAATTCATATCTAGTATTACATGCGAGTTTATATTTTTGCATATTTGCCAAATACGTAGCGTTATTTGCATATCTGAAGTAGTGTCTCGCCTCTTTCTCAACCATAACTCTATCTTTGCAAAATATGCAACGTTACTTTTATACCTAAAATAGTGTCTCACGTCTTTTTTAAGAAACAGAAGCAAAACATGAAAAATCCACTGAGAATATGTTCAATCCGCGATCAAATATGCTTCGCTAAATTGAAGAGGGTCATGACAACTTTTCGTGTAATGCATGTCAAATGATTCACGCGGGTCGCATATTTTTGCATATTATACAAAATACGTAGCGTTGTTTGCATATCTACAGTAGTGTATACTGAGTGATTAGCGTTTCGTGCGAGTTGCATGTTTTTGCATATTTTGCAAAATACGTGACGTTATTTGCATTTGAAACATATGCCTATGTCACATTGTTTGCACATCTAAAATAGTGTCTCGCCTCTTTGTCAATCATGCACAAAGAGCACTTTTCGTGTAATGCATATTTCGCGCGAGTAGCATATTTTTGCATATTTTGCAAAATGTGCCACGTTATGTGCATACCTAGAATAGTAAACAAAAAATAGTAAACATAAACGGAAGCAAAGCATGAAAAATCCGCTGGGAATATGTTCAATCTGCAGTAAAATATAATTCGCTTAACTGACTCCGCGAAAAATTAGAGATCAAGCCATCTTTCCATCTAAGGCATATCTAATAATTCATGCGAGTCGCATATTTTGCAAAATACCTAACGTTGTTTGCATATCTAAAATAGTGTCGCATCTTTTTCTCAACCATACACACACGGGCTCTGTTTTCGTATAATGCATGTCTATATTTTCGCATATTTTTGCATATTTTGTGAAATGTGCAACGTTATGTGATAGGTAAAATAGTGTATGGTGTCTTTATTTATCAAACTAAAACAGAAGCAAAACATGGAAAATCGGCAAAAATATGTTCAATCCGCAATAAAAAAATTCACTACAGTGACCGCGAAAAAGGTGATTTCAAAATAATAAAAGATCAAAACACCTTTTCGTATAATGCAGGTCTAATGATTAATGCGAGTCGCATATTTTGTGAAATACATAACATTGCATATTTAAAATAACGTATTTCCTCTTTCTCAAGACCAAGACCAGTTTTCGTATAATGCACGTCTAGCGCTCCGCGCAAAACGCATATTTTTTGTGCATACATACAATGTTTCGCGTATTTGTCTTAACAAACGAAAACAGAAGCAAAATCCGCTCAGAATATGTTCAATCAGCGATCTCATATGCGGAAACCAATCCAAGCTTGGGGTTTGGAAGAGTTTTGAACATTTTCAGTGTCATTAAGACCAAAAACTAGAAAATATGCCTTTCGTATTCCAAATCTTAACGTATTTTTCACACTTAGCCTTTTTAATCCAGAAGCATTCTTCGAACCTTCAGAGACATTACGTGCATATTCCCCTCTACTACCGAAAAATATGCCTGAGGATTTGTAAATTATTGCGTATTTTTAGCAAGTATTTCTTTTTTAGAGTATGAGATCAACTTTTCGTATAATGCATGTCTTGTGTTTTGTGCACATATTTGGGCATATTTTAAGAAATCCGTAATGTTGCTTGCATATTTCATTTTATCCTCGGAAAATATGCCACAACTAAACAATATCTGTATTTCCTACAAGCGATTGGTAAAGTATTGCATATTTTCAATGGCAATGCGTTGCATTTTTCCAAACATTTGACCTATTTTACATACGTTTAGTGCCAAGGAAATGTTTAAAAATTGCGTCCTGGAAAAAATCGCTTAAAAAATAGTGACAAGAGTTTTAAGTTAAATAATATTGTGTGTGGAATAGTTTCCAGATACGGATCCAGGAAAAATCGCTTAAAAAAATAGTGAGCTCCCTGGAGAGACTCGTATGTAAAAACAGCTGATTCAAATAGGTCATAAAATCATTTCTAAATAGTCGTCTTCAAACAATCCCCAAGTAATACATTAGAAAATTGCTGGAGAGACCTGAAAAAATGTTTCCACGAATGGATCCACGCAAAAATCTGACAGTTTTATTTCCAGGAGAGGAAACCGGTATCAAAAAACCATTCCAAAGAATGTCGCTGGATACACCCTAAACGATTGAATATGCTAAAATATGCGTTTCACTAATTTTTTTGTTAAAATCCGTCACGTGCAGCTTCTGGCATTGCGGATTGGAATAATCGCCTCACCTCACGCACTGTAAATTTTTCTATACATGATTGTTGAAATGTGACAAAATACGCCATCAACTAAACTAACCCTCGATGTGCCACGTACAGTGTCGAGTGTTTCAAATTGTAATATGCTAAAGTACGCAAACAAATCTTGTTGCGTCAAATTTAACGTTTTGTATTGGAATAGTGACGCATCCCGATGCATACACAATTAATGCGACTCAGATATGCAAAAATATGCAATTTAGGAAATTTTCTTGTTGTCTCTTGTAATGGTTGGGTTTTTCTGATCCGTACACTGAAAGCAACTAAAATATGCGATTAACAATGTAAGTAAAATGCCGAGGTGAATATTTGTCTATGCGAAAATATGCAGTTTGTAAGTTTTCGGTTCCTATACATACGAATAATATGCTAAAATATGCAGAGACTATGTTAACATTTATAAGCGACGGGGTTTAATATTAGAAGACCGATAGGACTACATGAGGCTGTGAATATGTGAAAATATGCAATTGTACAATAGTTAGTCGTTCTTGTCGACCGACTTAGCGAAGAACCGGAAGTGGGGTACAAATGTGAAGTAAAGGGTTAAAAATTTGTCTAGACTTTTAAAATGGAATCGATATATTGATGAGAACGACGAAAGAGGCGAAAAAAAAACACAATTTAGATATCTAAATCGGCCCAATTTAATATAACAACCCCTTAATATTTTATATGACGGAATGCTCGCAGTGGGCCCCGTCATCGTCTCCTTTAATTTCTTTTCCAAGTTTTTCCCTCTTAACCCGTCCTTTCCGTTTTTCGTTTTGCTCTCCCGTTTTTAATCACAGCTTTCTAGATTTCGACGCTTACCTGCCGTTTTAATTCGTCATTATTAAAATAATGCTTCAATTTTAATATTTCATTATGAATCCGACTTCGTAAGTTCCGCGCGGGAGCAAAAAAAAAATCGGAGGGGGTCCGAGGGGGGCGACTTTTAATTTATCATTATGGGGATTTTTTTTGTGGATGCGCTCGATGAGTGGCGAACGAACAGAAGGGTAGCATCGATTGCTGTTTTACATTCAAGGAACATCTGCTCCCTATTTTTTTGGTTTGTCTTACACGGATTGAACAATTAAAGTGAAAACGCATTGGTCAATGCGACTCCCACGCACCAAAAAAACGCGCACACGGTCGAGAAAGCCAATTAAACTACTTCCTGCTGCAGGTACACTCCTCGCCACAAATCCGATCACTTTTTCGACCCCGAAAATTTCGTAATCACGCGAAGTGACGGCAGGC